GCTGTGGCCAACAATGAACAGGGTCTTGGTGAAATGAATGCAGCAAAATTATTATATCCAAAAGGCATATTAAGTTCATAGTTTGCTTATTTCTTTTTTAGATTATAGTGTTAAAGTATGTTTATCTAGCAGGTATGTGGTCTTGTTTATTAAACATGCTTTTATGACAGGTATTTACTAGATTTTTAGCATTTCAGATATAATTAATAAAGACTTAGTCTAATGAAGAATGGATGATCTCAATTTTAATCTGTGAATGAGCACAATTTAAAACATTTTTGTTTAATGACTTCATGATTAGCTCAATTTAATTCAAGGTAAGCAGTGTCATCATCTGCAATTTGATTGGCATATTTTTTCCTTGACTCTAAGACTCCAACAGACACCTTGATTCATAACACCAAACTCCTTAATACAAGATTTGCTTTGATTTATAATACTTATCGAAACTGCTTTAATTATTGAAATTTTTTTAAAAGAACTTAGTTTGATTAGTAGTTAGTTAAATTACACAGAACGGGTTTTGTGAGCTTATCAACAGCTAGCTGTGTTTTGTGAGCCTGTTAACAGCTAACTGTGTTTTGTGAGCCTTTCAACAGCTAGCTGAACTATCTTGTGCATGATTGCATGGAAGATGGTGTGCTGTACTAATAATGGTGATAGCTGACCAAATTTTGCTTCCAAGCAGTTGACACTAATAGCATTGACAACTTCGTTTGGTAATGTGTTTCATGAGTGAGCGACACCATTGTTAAAAAAATTGAATCGAATGAGGCAATTATCAAATTCACGATGAAAGCACTTGCGATGACCATAGCTTGGTGGGATGTTAAGTGGAGTAACATTCCAGCTGAGTTAATGTTGTTCTCGATTTTGTATTTTTGGATGTCACCACGTAAACATCTGTCAAGTAGTGAGGTGTGTCCAAGTTTGATGCATCTCGTCTCATAGTTGAATCCCTTTATTTGTTGTGTTACTTTGGTAGACCAATGCTGGATGCGTATTTATGTCTTATTCAAGGTATGGGAACATTGAATGGTAATATTACTACAGCTTGGTTTTGATTTAAATATAAGCTGTGATAAAGTTTTGATGCTGATGTTATAGATAGTGTTGTATTTAACTACATGAATCAATACCTAAACCGCAAGCTCACCATTAACTAATAAAGAATGTATGTAGCAGTGTAATTTATGTAGCAGTGTTGTTGCATTGAAGCAAATGATGGACTGAGATATTTTAGATCTAAATTTACTTGACTGTCTGTAGTAATTTATTTATTAAATATAATTTAATATACAATTTATTTGTTAAAACTTTGCAGTTATTGAATAAACATGTTAGATGCTAATCTAAATTTACTTTGCAGATGTTGAATGAACATTAATCTAAATTTACTTTGAAGTTATTGAATGAAGTGACAATTACGACACCATCTGGCAAAACATTCCATGTATTACCTTCATAGTTAATAAAAAAGTTATAACAAAAATAGCAGTTTTTATCAATTTTGCAATAATACCTGGTGCAATGCTGTGGAGAATCTATCAATATACCAGTTGCATAAACCAATTTTATTCTCTAATTGTAATATTTTGAATGAAATCTTTAAATTTTCTTTGTTTACATAGTGTGGTAAGGAAATGCTTAACTTTTGTTTTGGTGTGGTACTTTAGTTCTTGTGGTATTGTAGTTCTTATTAATTTTGCAATAATATTTAATCACTCCATAGCTGTGTAGAATTTGATCAATATACCAGTTAAATAAATCAATTTTATTCTCTCACTGGAATATTTGAATGAAATCCTAAAATTTTTTTTGTTCACATAGTGAACAATATTGAAAGCTTTTAGCTACAGTCCTATTCTAAATAAGAACGTCATAAAACTATACAGTGGCTGGTGAACTTTAATTCAGATAAAACCAAATTTATTTCAGCCAATCATTATCGCAATAATTTAGATCTTCCTATATTTATGAATAGTAATGTACTTGATGAGTCATCCACCTTTCATCTTCTAGGATTAGCTTTTACTTCCGATCTTTCTTGGAAACCATATATCATATCCATTGCAAAATTAGCATCTGCTAAAGATGCATCTCTTTATCGTGCTTGATACCTTCTTACTCCAGATTTTATTCTTTATCTCTATAAATCTCAAATCCGGCCTTGTATAGAATACTGTTGCCATAACTGGGGCGAATCTTCTAATGATACCCTTTCTCTTTTAGACAAGATGCAAAAACGCATTGTAAACATAGTTAGACCTGCTCTTGCAGCAAACCTTCAACCACAATCACATCACCATAATGTTGCTTCTCTTTCTCTTTTCTACAAATGCTATAATGGATAATGCTCTAAAGAGCTAGGGTCTCTTGTGCCATCTACTAAAATTCATTCTTGTGTTACTTGTCATTCAATTAAGTTTCATCCTTTTACTGTGATTGTTCTAAAGTGCTCCAAAAACTCCTATTCATCTAGTTTTTTTCCTAGAACATC